ATTCTGAGGAACTTTTCCTACTTGATTTCACTGCTCATATCAGAAATGGGGCTAATGCTCACTTTTGCAGGAGTGTGGAGAGGATAGATTAATTATCTGCAGAGCACTTTAAAATCAGATGAAAGGGCTTGATATAAATGCATTGGGTGCAATCCTCACCTCGTTGAAATCAAATGGGACTTCTGCCATTGATTTCAAGGGGGCTAGAATTTCGCCCAGTCTCAGTATGGGAGAGGGATTAAAGGGTGTTTAATTTATCATGGGGAGGGATAAATACAATTTTCAAGCTCCATTGCTTGGAATATTTAAAAGTAGGGTTGTCAAAAAAGTTAATCGCAATTAATCGCTGTTTTAATTGCACTGCTAAACAATAGAAAACCAATTGAAATGTATTAAATATTTTTGCATGTTTTTCTACATTTTCAAATATATTGATTTCAGTTACAACACAGAATACAAAGTGTACACTGCTCACTTTATATTATTTGTTATTACAAATATTTGCACTGTAAAAATAATAAAAGAAATAGTATTTTTCAGTTCACCTCATACAGGTACTGTAGTGCAATCTCTTTGTCATGAAAGTGCAACTTACAAATGTAGATTTATTTTTGTTACATAAATGCACTCAAAAACAAAACAATGTAAAACTTTAGAGCCTACAAGTCCACTCGGTCCTACTTCTTGTTCAGCCAATCACTCAAACAAGTTTGTGTACATTTACAGGAGATAATACTGCCCCCCTTCTTATTTACAGTGTCACCAGAAAGTGAGAACAGGCATTTGCATGGCACTTTTGTAGCAGGCATTGCAAGGAATTTACATGCCAGATAAATGCTAAGCATTCGTATGCCCCTTTGTGCTTTGGCCACCATGCCAAAGGAGATGCTTCCATGCTGATGATGTTTGTTAAAAAAATAATGTGTTAATTAAATTTGTGATTCAACTCCTTGGGGGAGAATTGTATGTCTCCTGCTCTGTGTTTTACCCGCATTCTGCCATATATTTCATGTTACAGACGCTCCCCGATTTACGCAAGCGTTCCATTCTGGAACGCCTTGCGTAACTCAAATTTTGCGTAAGTCGGAAACGTATACCCGACCATTACGTGCAAAAAAACCCCAACACTCCTATTTCTAGCTTACGGAACTTTTTCCTTAAGTGCGGATTTGCGTAAGTCGGGTTTGCATAACCCGGTGGGCGTCTGTATAGCAGTTTCTGATGATGAATCAGCATGTGTTCATTTTAAGAACACTTTCACTGCAGATTTGACAAAATGCAAAGAAGGTACCAATGTGAGATTTTTCTAAAGATAGCTACAGCACTCAACCCAAGGTTTAAGAATCTGAAGTGCCTTCCAAAATCTGAGAGGGAGGAGGTGTGGAACATGCTTTCAGGAGTCTTAAAAGAGCAACACTCTGATGTGGAAACTACAGAACCTGAACCACCAAAAAAGAAAATCAACCTTCTGCTGGTGGCATCTACTCAGATGATGAAAATGAATATGCACTGATCCGCACTGCTTTGCATCATAATCGAGCAGAACCCATTAGCAGCATGGACACATGTCCTCTGGAATGTTGGTTGAAGCATGAAGGGACGTATGAATCTTTAGTGCATCTGGCATGTAAATATCTTGCGACACCAGCTATAACAATGCCATGCGAACACCAGTTCTCACTTTCAGGTGGCATTATAAACGAGAAGCGGGCAGCATTATTTCCTGCTAATGTAAACAAACTTGTTTGTCTGAGCGATTGGCTGAACAAGAAGTAGGACTGACTGGACTTGTAGGTTCTAAAGTTTTACATTGTTTTATTTTTGAATGCAGTTATTTTTTATACATAATTCTACATTTGTAAGTTCAACTTTCAAGATAAAGAAATTGCACTACAGTACTTGTATTAAGTGAACTGAAAAATACTATTTCTTTTGTTTTTTACAGCGCAAGTATTTGTAATAAAAATAAAGTGAGCACTGTACACTTTGTATTCTGTGTTGTAATTGAAATCAATATATTTGAAAATGTAGAAAACATCCCAAAATATTTAAATAAATGGTATTATATTATTGTTTAGCAGCGCGATTAATCATGATTAATTTTTTTAATCATTTGACAGACCTATTTAAAAGTAGATTAGATAAAATGCTAGAAAATGTGCTTCAGGGAGTAATCCTGTAGTGGCCACAGAACACAGTTAGCTGTTTCATCTTAAATATTTATACTTCTGTTCCCAAACTATGTTAGATGATAGTTAAGGTTGTTCAGTCTAGTCCAAAAGACATGTAGCATTATGCACATCACTTTTTTATGAGAAATATGGGAATCACTAACTACGGTTAATTAATAGTGCTGACACCAACACACCCCAGTGGATGGGGAGTTTTAACTTAACTCTTTCTCTATAGTGATACCTTGATGGAAAACCTGCCAGAAACTCTTACAAGCTTATTGCTATAATACACATGATATAAGTGGAGGGAATTTCCACAAAGAAACATAGAGCAATTTGATAAATGGATTATCATGCATAAGAATTTAAGAACCGTAAGAACGGCCATACTGGGTCAGACCATGATCCATCTAGCCCTGTATCCTCTCTCTGACAGTGGCAGTACCAGAGCTTCAGGGAAAGTGTACAGAACAGGGCAATTTTGGAGTACTCTACCCCTGTTTTCCCCTCCCAGCTTCTGTCAGTCAGAGGTTTAAGGTTTCTCTGAGCACAGGGCTACATTCCTGTCCATCTTGGCAATTAGCCATGGATGGACCTATTCTCCATCAACTCACCTAATTCTTTTTTGAACCCAGTTATAGTTTTGGCCTTCACAGCATCCCATGGCAATACGTTCCCCAGGCTAATTGTGCATTGTGTGAAAAAGTATTTCCTCTTGTTTGTATTAAACCTGCTGCATGCACTTTTGAGTGTATCACATACCTGACCTTACCCACTACCACACTGGTACTTTTTTCTTAACTTGAAAATTGACTTGTTTTCAAATATTTTGCATATGCTTGCAGCTACTTTTGTGGGGACACTGCATTTAGGGAGAGATCTGCTTTTAATTTTTGCTTGTGGCCTCTTCCAAATTTCATTACACCCTTACGGCCTATTGAGCTGAGGTATGGGCACCCTTTGGGAAAAATAGGACACTGTCACCTGCAGCAAGACAATTAGCAAATTGGTTAGGAATCTGTAACGAGAACTAATGAATCTGTAGGTAGCTATTCGCATCCACGCTGTTTAGCGGCACCAGGTACTCTGAGTTTGTATACCATACAGATGTATTTGCAAATTGAAGTAACATTGTTAAACAGAAGGTAATTAAATAATCTACTGAAAGAATGTGGTGATGTCTAGCCTAATGAAAATAAATGTCACTCTTCCAGAAACCCATCCCTGGTAGGTGTGGTTGGTCTATTAGGCCAGTGCACCTTAAGTCGGAATCAAATATAGGTAATCCCAACTCCTGAAGGTGGGCTTTGTGGAATAACAAACCACAGTGAGCACAGAGTGTGTGTAACTGTATCCGAGACTTAGATTGAAACTCAACTGCTAGGCATTTGTTGTGGAGAAAAAAATCCTAGCTTTGAGGTGGGAGTGCTATAAAAAGGCTTTTTGCTTAAAGGGCAAAGATTTGATATTTGCATCAAATGAGTGCTGTGCTTTTCTTTGCCTGAAGAGTCTTCTCTTGTGAAGGCACAGAGTTCAACAGCAGAACCAAATGCATTATACTGAATGACTCACTGATGCAAGCACAGGAAGAGAATCAAGCACTTGGGTCGATCTCGCTCCAACTTTGAACAATTCTATTATTTCCCATTTTTTGCAAGTTCTGCATAGCATGTCTAGGCCTTTTAATTTTATTCTTCTAGACATGAGCACTAATGTCTTCTCTTGAACCTTGGGGAGCAGTGGGCTATTGCCTGCTCTCCTTTCCCATCACAAAACACATACTCTAGAAATCAAGCCAAATGAAACATGGCAAAGATAAACTATGGTCATAAGAGGTGTAAGGTCCATTTGCGGTGGGTGCCAGGAGTCACCAGGTGACACTGTTGCATAGTCTTGCATGTTTTTTTTTCCTAGTGTGTGAGCAATTTCTGAAGACATGCTGTGATGTTAGTTTTGTGATGCATAGTCTATTTGGGGGATCTGTTGCAAACAGCAGGGGCATTCACTCTCTGCCTGCATCTCCCTAAAAGTCCTTATTTACCCGTTGGTGCCAGGAGGCCTGAAGCTGCAGTTGAAGGGCCCCTTGCTGCAAGCACATGCTTGAGTAACTGGATTAGTATACTTAATATTATTGACTTCAGTGGATCTGCTCATGTGAGTTAAGTTACTCATTTTTGTATCCATTTGAGGTTTGGGCCCATAGTCATTAATGTATCTTGTATTAGTTTGGCCACTGTCAAATCTGGAGTTATCACATCATTGTATCACCAGCCAGTTACAGCACAGTTAGTATCACACACAGCCCTGTCTCATACAATATTCTCAGTTGGCCTATATTAAAGCCTTATAGAGAATCCATCTTTGGCTCAGCTCTCTCACCACAGACGTGGTTCCTCACTGTCCTGCCCCTTGTGCAATCACACCTGTGCAAAAGAGGTGTTACCCACTACACTGTCACAATAGTAGTGTTTTACACATCCTTTGTACAGGCGTGAATGGAGAAACAGGCCATGCGCATTTTTTCACACATCTCATCTGACTCCAGGCTCAAACTGCCCACACTTTGTAACTGCCCTAAGGAGTGGAGTGGAGAGGAAATTGCCATATGTCAGTCATCAGAGGAGCAAGGGCTTTGAAGATCTGTCAGTCTCTTATTCTTAAAAGCACAGAGGTTTACACACTGAGTTCAGTCACTGCTTCTACTTGCTACATTTGATCGTGAAATAGAGAATTTCCAATACAGCACACTCCAGCCTTGACATTTTGCATTGGTGTCTGGAGTGAGGAATTCTGCACATAAGCCTGATCATGTTTTTCTCTCTACAGGTCAAATCAAGAGAAAGAACACTTCCAGATGAAAGGGAGTTTTGTGCTGCTGTCAGGACAATAACAGAAGCTGTCAAGCTAAAACTATCAGATCTTAAATACCATTGTGCCCATAAAAAAAATGGAATGCATGGTCTGTACAGGCTGGTATTTAAAGACAAGTGTTCTGCTAGCAAAACAGGTTTCCTCAGTTCGGTATCGAAGGAGCCCATTACAAATGTTGTTAACGCCACAGAGATGATCAGTGAACTGCAAATGGAAGAGGGCACTCTGAAGAGGGAGCTGAAGCGGCTGCAGGAAGAGTGCAGACACAAGCTAGATGAGATTGCAGAAGGGCTAGTTGGAGTGATTTGTATCCCACCTATGAAGAGATAAGTTCTCATCAAGAAAGGACAAGGGAATAGAGCTGTTTGATCAGAAGACATATTATAAACCGTGCCCTGAGAGTGGGTGAAATGAAGATCTGAATGTGGTTCTAATTCTCAGCCTTGAAAACACAATTTGTCACTTCTTTATAATATGCATTGGGGCCAGAACACTGCACCCTTAATGGTTCTGTCTGCTGCCCCTTATTACTTACCTTACCAATTAAATTCTGCAGCAGGTGTTGGGGGGAGGCGGTGTTTTTAAATCTCTCCTTCATCTAGATTTCTGATGCTTCTGCCAGACACAGGCTCACTTTCAGAACTCTCCGTTTCTAGACACACGGTATTTGCCAGGTCTGCAGACTGAAATACTAATTACATTCAGCATTTATCAGCAAGTGAGAGTATTTATGACTAATAAAAAACCAGGAACTGAGCAGAGATGAGTGCGGCCTTCGATGCTGAAAGGTATGCAAAGCACCAAGAATGAAATGTGCAGGAAAGGCTGCTGTTTAGTTCAGCTAATTCCATATTGTGTGGCAAGGCACAGAATACATACAATTATCACAAAACAGATACAAAATGCTTAGTAGCAAATAAAAGTGGCATCTTCTATATTCACAGGCATAATGCACTTCAAATGATCAGATTCTCTAGGGAAACACCCATTTTTATTAAACTTTGTATTCAGTTATGAAGCACAGTAATATAATTTATATATTCACTAGAGAATGCTTCTGTAAAATAGAAGTAAGGCCTTAAATTCCAGGCTTTAAGAAACCCCATGGTCTACCTTTGGAGACTTCCCCCCAGAATGTAAAGCCTTTCATTTGACATTAGCTTTTCCTCCCTTTCTGCTTGCTTTCAGTAAGAAACTGCCTTTATTCTTGTGATTTTCCTTCAGAAATAAAAACACAATTTGCTTTTGATTTGTGAATTGCAATGAGCAGCAGGATTACCTTGGTTTGGATTTCTGTCCATTACTCCCAGCTCTTCTGTTTGGGTGATTAACAGTTGCCTGTGACTCAAGAACTAAAAGTAAAAGTGCATTTAAGGACATCATCTTGTTCATGTATTTGTATTAGCATCATCACTTTTGTGAGATGAAGTAAGGTTGGGGGAGAGGAGCAAGGGCTGACTCTTCATTCCGCTGCCCTTTTGGGAGTCATTTACTACCATGCAAAGTTGGTATAAAATGCTGCCAGATCTGAATTCTCTGCTGAGTCGCACTATCATTGGCATTTCTCAGGCATTGTGCACATGTGTCAATGATGACGCCAGGTGTAAGACAGCGGAGAACAAGAGGTGGGTGCCCAGCCTTGGTCCAACTGAAAGCCATGTCATCAACCTACCAGGGACCGCAGGAGTGCACCTCATTTGCATAATGTGGGCCAGATTGTAGCCACCAATATCTTACAGAGGTCCCACCTCATTCCCCACAGACCAAAGCAGAGTGGGGTGCAGTGGTGTGTGAAGCCTTTGTGAGCCATGCTGGAGGCTGCTTGGGTTCCCATGTACTGGGGTACCTGAGTGCACTAATAGAGTAATCCAGGTACTGTGGCAAGGATAACGTGGGCTCTGCCCATACTATGGGCTTTGCTCACCATAGTGCAGCCTTGAAACTAGCCGATGCTGAGAGAGAGTTTAGTTCTGTGCGTGAGCCCCAATGAAGTAGAGAGAATGACTGTATTAAACTAAACGCACAAACTCTTCTCCTGGGGATACGCCCCACTGAACCATGTCCAAATGCCATGCACAGAGCTGGTTCTGCACTCTGCAGCTCTAGCTCATCTCTAGCCTGTTGCTCACCCATCTTGTCATATTGCTGTATGCCACGCTTCTGTCCACTTAAGCTAGCAATCATCACTCTGGTTTTAATACCAGGACATGAACTCATTTCCTAACTGCAAATATTTGTCAGTACACAGTAGTTACAATGCAGTGTGTTTTTAATATTCACCTGACAATCCCATTTCAGTCTAGACTGGAACTGACAGAGCATGGGTGCCCTGCTTGACCCTGATTATTTTCTCTCTGGAGAAATGTAAAAATTGTGTTGCTATAAAAACAGCTACAGAGAGTCCTGGGCAGCTGTATTTACTGCATGACACAAGCAAATCATATTCACAAACAAGCTGTGTTATTGAAGGGATGCTGTCAGAACAAACATTAAATCCACTATTACTGGTGCTGGCACTGTCACCTAGCAATGTTAAAACTGGAATCATCTGAAAAACTAATTGTCTTTGTGCCACTGATGCCATTTGGTTACTTTTTGCACCTGAGACCATCTGGGCAATGAAACTCATTGCTCATGTCTATTCCATAGTAGGTGTGTGTGCTTGCCACATGCACCAGCGCCGGAAGTTTTTCCTTCAGTGGTATCCATAGGAGACCAGCTCTGGTGCCATCTGGAGTGGTGCACTTATGCACCAGTATAAGGGGCGCTGCCAGCTCCTCTCTCCCTCAGTTCCTTCTTACCGCCAGTGTCAGTGCTGGAACGTCTCCTTGCCTCGGCTTGTCTCCTTGCCTCCTTACCTTCTCAACTGTGCCTAGCTGTGAATCTTTTGTGGATAGTTGTTAGAACGTCTGTAGAGTTTATTAGTTCCCTTAGTGCCAAAGTTAGAAATAGTTTCATACAAGACTTAGCCTCGGGACAGGGCATGCCCCAATCCCTGGGCTTCAAACCTTGTGACCGCTGCAAATAATCTATGCCAGTCAGTGATTCCCATCAAAGTTGCCTAAAGTGCTTGGGGGAAACCCATGTGAGCGACAAGTGTAGCATTTGTAAGAGCGTCAGGTCACAAACCAAAAAGGAGCGGGACATTCGACTTAGAGCGCTCCTTATGGAGTCAGCCCTTGCACCAGCCTCAGAGCCAGCTAGATCAGCCTCTGCTCCAAGCACTGCAGCCTCGGGGCAGAGCGCACTGCTGGCACCGACCTCTCACTGGCACCGATCCCTATCCCCGGTACCTTCTAAAAAGCAAAGAAAGGCCAGGAGAGAGCATTCACCTTCCCGTAAAGGGAAGGAGAAAATCGAAGGAGAGCAAAGACCCATGCGGGGCAGTTCTTCCCTGTGGACGGTGGCCAGGCTTCAGCATCCATTGAGTTGTCGAGCCCTCTTCGAGACCTGCCTGCCACCCTGGGAAGCGGCAGAAGCACTCGGCACCTGGCTGTGCCATCCATGCTGGAGGCCTTTCAGGCCACTAAAGACATATTGTCCCTTCTGGTGCCGCCCACGTCGGCCAGTGAAGTACCCCATTCGAGGGGTATACCCGCCCTGGGACTCTTCCAGCGGTCTCCATCCATGCAGCACCGCTCTCTGCCGCAGGGGGTGCCCCGCCAGCGCTTGCCTGAACCGCACCACCAGCCCCCGGATACAGGTCGGCTTACCTGTCAGAGTCCTTGGCGTCGTACCCCGGACTCTAGGCAGCGTTCCCCGGGGGGCCGGCGTTGATCACCGGCTGTCTGGCACAGACCTGTGGAGGCACGTTGCCAGTCCCCAGAGTCTTGGTGCCTGGAGCATCCAAGTTAGTCTCCAAACTCACAACACCACTCCAGATAGTCGAGACGCTGGTCCCCGGAGTCCTGTCACAGGTTTGTGGATCGCCAGTACGGATCTCCGTGGGCACGTTGACAGTCTCCAAGATATCGGTTTTCTCACTCCCGTTCTCACTCCCGACCCATTGAACAGCACTGCTCTCAAAGCGTGAGGTGTCGATCACCAGGGTACCATTACCAATCAGCCAAACGATGACAACGGTCACCAGAGTCATGGCACCAAGAGCCATCATCCCTGTGCAGGTCCCCGGCAGAGGTCCGTGGAGAGGGCCGACAGGAACGGGGTAGACAGGTGGCATCGGGACTGTCCTGGTCCCGCAGACAAGTCTCCCCCTCTTCAGGCTCTGAAAGTGAGGAGGAAGATCTGCCTGCAGGCCAAGGCCACCCACCGGGGGCATTGGCATTTCCCTCTGGGCCACCTGAGGCCGCATGGCAGCTATGGAACCCCTGGGAGTTTCTCCAACCGACGAAGTGGCATCAGTTAATCTCAGGGGCATGTGAAAGACGGTCAGCGACAGTCTCCCGCCTGCCCCCTAACTTGGAAGCGGAGTCAGAGCAAGGTCCCCAGGGACAGCCAGCTTCAGCTGAGGCTCTCTTGGCAGAGGCAGCGGAGTTGGCAGACCCGCCTATACCCGCCTCATCATCTTTGTCTTCGCCCGATTAGGCGATAGCGGGGCCTTCCCACATGGTTCTCGAGGATGATGCAAGGTCTCACTGGGAGCTTTTAAAGAGAGTGGTATTGAACCTGGGGCTGAAAGCCAAGGAGTTGGCTGAACCCTCTGACTCCCTGTTTGATGTGTTAAGTGCAGCAGCCTCCTGCAGGATGGCATTGCCTGTCCTCAAGGGGGTGGTGAAACTGATCAAGGCCCTGCAGCAAACCCCCTTTCCTGCCCCCCATTTCCAAACAGGTGGAGAGAAAGTACTACATCCCTGCTAAGGGGTTTTAATACCTGTATACCCACCCTGCTTCAAGCTCACTGGTTGTTTCAGCAACCAGTGAGCGCGATAGACAAGACTAACCGGGATCAACGCCTAAGAATAAGAAGGGCAAAGAGGCTCGATCAATCTCTTTGGCAGAAAAATGTATTCTACAGCCAGCCACCAGCTGAGAGTGGCCAACCATCAGGCCCTGCTTGGCCATTATGATTTTAGCATTTGGCAGTCCATGGCCAAGTTTGTGGACTCACTGCCAGAGGAGCGCAGGAAGGAGTTCCTGGCGATCCTTGATGAGGGCAGGGCTGTGGTCAGGGCTGAGGCTTCCAAGTGGCCTCAGATGCGGCAGACTCCGTGGCCCGGACCATGGTTTTTGGCTATTTCCATGAAGCCTGCATCCTGGCTACAGTCGTCGGCCCTTTCAGTGGAGGTTCAGCAGTCCATCCAGGACCTCCCATTCAATAGCATGGCACTGTTCTTGGAACAGACAGACAGCAAATTACATGGCCTGGAAGACACTAGGGCTACCTTGCACTCTCTGTGCCTTTACACACCGGTGCCTGTGAGAAAGTGGTTCAAGCTGCAACAGTTCCACAGGTTCGGGAGCCAATTCCAATTGGAGCTCTTCCGCAAGAAGGAAAAGGGTTACAAGCACCGGCAAGACTGTCAACCTGCCCCCTCAGCTCACTCAAGCACTACCCGCAGCAAATCGGGTAACAATCAGGCATTTTGAGGGTGCCTCAAGGGCGACCTTCCAACATGTATCCTGGATGCAACACCCCTGTTACT